TTTTAAACAGGCATGACTCAGTTTCTATTTAAAAAATATACATATACGGGTCATATATTTGTTAACACGATATCACGATGTGTTAATGTGTATAAGAAAATACATACAGAATTTAAATGATAAGAATTTAAGATATTTAACAACAGTTTCGTTTTAAATACAGGTGAACAGTCGAAAATACTGTGAAATTTATCACCTGCACTATTGGATTACAAAAAGTAGGTCAAAGATTTTTAAGTCAATTCATTCTATTTGCTGAAGATAAAGTGCGATATTTGTACAAGATGTGAGCCCTTAGTATTCCATAGAACCGGAAGTTATACAGATTACACGGTTGACAAGGTGACAGTTTAAAAGAATAGGGATATAGGCCGGGGATACTAAAGATGGGATGTTTCGACGGATTAGCTCGTCTGCTGCTGGTCGTGTTAAATATAGTGTTTATGGTAAGATATTTATAATCTCCTTATGCTTGACTTGCTTTGGGTAACTTTTCATCTGATATATATCTTGTATTTCTGGGGAAAGTGCCTGCACGTTGTATCAATTGCTATTGACCGGATATCATCGTCTGTCTTTAGTCAAATTTGTAAATTAACCAATCATAGTCCGGGCTATTTCATGGCTATTTCTAACAATCTCCTGTTTATTACATAAAAATCGATTACAACCGATATAAAATGTATCGGTTCTTACGATTAAAACTTTTACAATTCGGTATCGGGCCAATGCGTTTTTTTCCTGTTTAATATGACATGGATCAGTTCCTTATCTATGTGTAATAATAAAATCGTTTTCAATGCCTGTTTGATTTTAGCAAAGACCTAGTTATATAAACATAAACTCCCCTGTAGATTGCCATATATCTTACTTATCTTAACAGGGGAATTTTGAGACCTACTAATCAAAAACTCATTTGTCTCGTAGGTTTGTTTACTTTAAATATAAAATTATGTCCTTATCCAAAATAGGGATGAAAGCGATCTTATGTTATAAAAGCTCGTTTTGTTTAAGATCTGAAGTTTTAGATGCAATGAGTAACTGGAAGTGTTATAAATACCAGTTGTGCCTAGCCTTAGCCCTTTAAGATCACTCTGTGTTCCGCTGTAAGTGATACCAAGGTTATGAAAAAAAAATGAACAATGTATGTGCTTAATATCCTTAAAGGCCTTTTGATTTTGACTCAAAAAAATATACAATGCATTATCGGTCTTATACATGTATTAATAAGATAACATGGTCGATCATTTATTTGAAAAGGGAAATTATAAACATTTTGAAACAAATCATACAACCGTTCCTACTGATCAGAAACTAAAACAAAAACACATATTAAAGTTTGTGTTGGTCTTAGTATATCTTGTTATGAAAAGCATATATGAAACTAGGAGTCATTATACTAGGAAACCAGGAATCATTAACCCGGAGTTTAAGATTTCAGAATACGCCATTCCTTAAATTAGTATAACATGATCGTGATTTGACTTTACAAAATTACTAAAGATTAAATTTAGATTATTTTTTCATAATATATTTATATTTAAGTATATGAAATAACCTTAAAAGCTAAGTGTCCCTCGATATAAATAGATGTGTGAAGTTGGCGGCCTAGCGGCCTGGCGGCCTGGCGGCGTGAAGTTGGCGGCCTAGCGGCCTAGCGGCCTGGCGGCGTGAAGTTGGCGGCCCAGCGGCCTGGCGGCCTAGCGGCGTGAAGTTGGCGGCCTAGCGGCCAAAAATTTTAATGTTGTAAAAATGTTTTTTTAACAATAAAACGGCATTTAATGAAGTTTTAAAGATAATTATTGTTATTTAAACGATATATCTAAAGAAAAAATCACTTTCAGAAATTATTTTAATTTTGTCATTTTTGTGAAGTTGGCGGCCCAGCGGCCTGGCGGCCTAGCGGCCCAAAATTTTTATGTTGTAAAAATGTTTTTTTTTAACAATAAAACGGCATTTAATGAAGTTTTAAAGATAATTATTGTTATTTAAACGATATTTCTAAAGAAAAAATCATTTTCAGAGATTTTTTTAATTTTGTCATTTTTGTGAAGTTGGCGGCCCAGCGGCCTAGCGGCCTAGCGGCCCAAAATTTTATTGTTGTAAAAATGTTTTTTTTAACAATAAAACGGCATTTAATGAAGTTTTAAAGATAATTATTGTTATTTAAACGATATATCTAAAGAAAAAATCACTTTCAGAAATTATTTTAATTTTGTCATTTTTGTGAAGTTGGCGGCCCAGCGGCCTAGCGGCCTAGCGGCCCAAAATTTTAATGTTGTAAAAATGTTTTTTTTAACAAAAAACGGCATTTAATGAAGTTTTAAAGATAATTATTGTTATTTAAACGATATATCTAAAGAAAAAATCATTTTCAGAGATTTTTTTTATTTTGTCATTTTTGTGAAGTTGGCAGCCCAGCGGCCTAGCGGTCTAGCGGCCCAAAATTTTAATGTTGTAAAAATGTTTTTTTAACAATAAAACGGCATTTAATGAAGTTTTAAAGATAATTATTGTTATTTAAACGATATATCTAAAGAAAAAATCACTTTCAGAAATTATTTTAATTTTGTCATTTTTGTGAAGTTGGCGGCCCAGCGGCCTGGCGGCCTAGCGGCCCAAAATGTTTATGTTGTAAAAATGTTTTTTTTAACAATAAAACGGCATTTAATGAAGTTTTAAAGATAATTATTGTTATTTAAACGATATATCTAAAGAAAAAATCATTTTCAGAGATTTTTTTAATTTTGTCATTTTTGTGAAGTTGGCGGCCCAGCGGCCTAGCGGCCCAAAATTTTAATGTTGTAAAAATGTTTTTTTTCAACAATAAAACGGCATTTAATGAAGTTTTAAAGATAATTATTGTTATTTAAACGATATATCTAAAGAAAAAATCACTTTCAGAGATTTTTTTAATTTTGTCATTTTTGTGAAGTTGGCGGCCCAGCGGCCTAGCGGCCTAGCGGCCTAAAATCTTAATCTTCTAAAAATGTTTTTTTTAACAATAAAACGGCATTTAATGAAGTTTTAAAGATAATTATTGTTATTTAAACGATATATCTAAAGAAAAAAATCACTTTCAGAAATTAATTTAATGTTGTCATTTTTGTGAAGTTGGCGGCCCAGCGGCCTGGCGGCCTAGCGGCCAAAAATTTTAATGTTGTAAAAATGTTTTTTTTTAACAATAAAACGGCATTTAATGAAGTTTTAAAGATAATTATTGTTATTTAAACGATATATCTAAAGAAAAAATCACTTTCAGAAATTATTTTAATTTGTCATTTTTGTGAAGTTGGCGGCCCAGCGGCCTGGCGGCCTAGCGGCCAAAAATTTTAATGTTGTAAAAAGGGTTAGGGTTAGGGTTAGGGTTAACCCTATTTGTATGCATATTGAGATAATCAAATAAACTTGGAAACTTGGAAACTAAAAATAATAATTATCATTCAAATAGATATAGATTATACGAGTACATAAGTATTTACATTTTCATTATACAAATTTTTTGTGATATACTTAAGATGCTTATACAGCTATCACTGATGCCAGTATCGTATTTTCTTTCTAGAAAACATAATTATGACAAAGCATATTTAACATGGTACTTTTAAAGCAAAGTCATCGTCTTTAATGCAATAGTAAACATAAGCGATTGCTATTCTTAAAAAATGTTTATGAACATTCCTGTTTTGTTATGATAAAACAGGCGTCTGCCTATAAGTTTTTAAAACTGCGTTTCGTTATCACTTAATAATATTTCTGAAACAACATCTTTGCCAAATAAATTATACAAAGTTTTCTTCGCGAAAAATGTCCATTCTATTACAAGTTACAACAACATGTTTTATGATATACAATTCACATTATATTTTAGCCCCATATACAGAAGCCTGGTAACCACTTTTAGATTTTAAGTGTTTATAATATTTATTTAAACATAAGTTATGGCAATTTATATGAAATTAGATAACAAATAATTATTGAAAATACTCATTCCTTTTGCATTATTTTCATTTGATCGCAGGTCTGTCAGATACTTAACCTCTAGTGACAATGAACAGCTTCGTTAATTCAATTCAAATAGTTCATTTTCGTTTAATCACGTGTACAACATATACATTACAATCAAAATGGCTAAAACTTATGAAAGTACTTATGCCATTAAATGTAAATTTGATGGGGGTCTTTTGACCTTCTCCAAATCCCTCCAGAGGCGTGCACGTCGAGGAGAAGGCACACGGCAGGTCAAGGTCAAGTCATCTTAAGTACCAGAGGTGATTGGTTGACCTGTCGTGACTAACTCTGGAGGGTTGGCGCTAATGGGAGCCGTTTTTGTTTTCGTCAGTATGGAACTTGATGCCTGGCCAGTATTGTCGTACTCCTCTACCACCAACGAACGAAGAATAGGCTACAGGAAGATTCAGCTTGACAAAAGACGTCCCCGATGTGGCTACCTTAGTGGACCGGCAAGGATGCTATATTCTCGGACAGATGGTTATACCGGCGCCGAGTATAAATAAACTTAAACTGACTGGTCTTTTGTCCTACCTTTACTTTTTATGAATGGGGGGCTTTTGTCCTACTTTTACTTTTTTATAGGGGGCTTTTGTCCTATGTGGAAAATTCATGGGGGGGGGGACTCTTGTCCACCTTGTCATTTTAAGACGGGCGTGGGGGGGGGGGGGGCTTTCGTCCGAGGAGGGGGCTTTTGTCCGTATCCAGAATTATATATACATGTATAAAAAATTATAAATTGAAAAAAGAAATTAAAAAAAATACAAAGGGCCTAAAAAAAGTATTACCCCTTTGTTGGATTTGAACTCAAAACCTTCCGTATGCAAGACAAGTAACATAACCACTACACTATCAGGCCAGATGATATTCAATGACCTGTTTCCATGTAATGTGTTTTTGTATATAGTTCTTTTCCTGCCACCCATTTATAATCTTTAATTTAATATTTAAATTTTGTGCATTAAATGTCTTTGATCTTCATAAAAATATCGTATTTCAAAGGAAATGTCTTTGTAAATTATTGATTTTGATAAAAAAATATATAATGTTAAATCGTTATATCAAAGTCATTTTTTATTTTTTGTTTTCAAACTCTTGGAATATAAACATAATTATAATATCTGGTGGACACAGTTTCAGATTTTTTCTATCTTTTCTAAAAACAAATTACTGTCGACGTCTTGTTGAACAACTTATGCGACTTTTTTCACCATGCATATTACGTAATTAAAGATTATTGAGTCGCTGATTGAGCGTAATTGAATTCCTTTCATGTGCTTTAAACTGCATGTAAAATGCTTGTTTATCAAGAAAGTTATGCCGACTCAAATTAAGTTAGTCTGACGCGCATCAAACAGTGTCATAATTCGGCTGTTCTCTCTCAGACCCCTACGTTATCCGTTAAATTATTTATAACCGGTTATAACCCCCAAAG